AAGATAGCGACCGCAAGCATCCCTGCTTCACCCATTGGTGGATTGGGCTAGACCGTGCTATCGTCAAGTTCGACAACAAGGCCATTGACGTCAGAAAGGAGGTGATGGTAAAGGACGATGACTGGACTGGTGCGTGACACAGGATCGTCCTGTCTGCTTCTCGACTGCTCTGAACCATTCTGACATCAATTCCCTCCCGCGAACAGACTTTGGCATGAAGGATGCATCCGAGCCTTTCTCGCTTACCTATCTCGACACCAACACCGCACAACTGTTCTACTCAAACTACGATCCCGTGGATGGATGCTATGACATCGAGGTGTCTATCTCTACACACGTCCGAGGTTGGCGAATCTGGGTTTCGGATGAGATTGGCGACGACAGGGACCTGGACACTCAGAATGGACTTTCCTCCAAGACAAGGCTCTGCACAAAGTGGCTTCACATTCATGTCAAGCCCGACGGAAGAGGTCACATCTCCCACTACTGAGCGCTGCAATATTTCACGTCACGAATGAGCTGTACTGCGCCAGTTTTGCTCACGGGCAGCCCCATATAACTTCGCTACAGTGCTTGCAGCACATCTAGCCACAAGCGACCTCGTCACATCTCTGCCTTCTCTCTCATCAAATGTGCAGTGACAGCTTTTGTTATTTTTGCCGTCCACCTCTTCGTATGATACTCGATGGCCTCGTTTCATGTCGCTTGGCCTTACGAATGAAGAAGGGTGCAAACATCGCTACCCATGTGTCTTTATACGCAATGGCGACCTCCGAATGCCATGCTCGACTGAAGTGCCGTCATCAAGCATCAACTGCGACAAAGAGAGCCCGTGGTATCGCAGATGTAGCGCGACGAAGCATTACAATTGAAAAAGGGTGACAGCATGTTAATTGCCGAAGCATTGTCATTTCATTTGCAGATGTGGCACACGCTCCTTCCGAGACCGGACGTATTCACTCTGGCGAGCGAGGCCAACGGGAACGACGAGCCCGACCAAATGAGCTGGTCCGAATGAGCGGCGAGCGAGAAATGACATGACTGACGCTGTCGGCGTGGGACCAGGGCGCAATGGTTTGCTAAGCACATGCAGCCAAGGTATTGGACCATCACCGACAACGAGTCATCATTGTCTCGTTTAGCCATTGATGTCCTTCATTGTCGTGAACATACCGATACTTTTTGCCAAACAACAGTATGTGACTGCGCGACGGGATTAGGTGTTTGGTGCGAGAGCCCACCCCTCGGATAGACGGAACGCGCTTGGTGTTGCGTTGCTGGTAGATACAATGAGGCGCAATGCTACGAGCAGACCTTCATCGGCGTACTGGCTACCCACGCCCTTTGCGGGCGTTGCTTTATCGACCATTGCCTCGGAACCGTCCCTGCATCTGCCAAACGTGTGGTACCGTGACAGCGAATCACAAAAGCAGCCAAGAGCCCGCACCGATGACGGACATGGCGGTACTGTGCAAGCAATTGCATGTCCCCTAGTATCACGGATACTGTATGAACCTCCCCATTTTCATCAATGATGCACTCGGCTTTTCTCGCTCCGAGCATCGCAAGTATGATGGGCCTGTCTTCGCTCGCTATAGACGCCGTCTGTGTCTTGGACTCAAGGCTTCGGCATCCGTGCTGAGCTAGATCTGAAGGCATATAAGCTTCGATTAAGGCGGGACCTTCACCATGTTCCAGCATCCGCTCACAAACCTTTCAGCAACCAAACCCGCTGTCTACATGAAAATGCTCGTACAGACTCCCCTCTTTCTCCTCCTTGCCACGCTCTTCATGCCGCTGGGCGGTCTGGCTATCCCCGCTGGTGGTTTCTCCGACATCGTAGAGTCCTCTTCCAGCTCGAAAGGACGTCCAGATATTCAACTGGAGGCAAGTCCCATGGGTAGTGAATCAACGCAGTACTATACGCACATTCTGAACAGCCATCTGCGGGATCTAGGCCCGCAGCATGCTGCAACAGCTTGGCCCGCACCTCGAGGAGGAACGTATGTCCATGACAGCGTGCCTTGGGTGCACAACGACTTGCTCTCGAACCGAGAGAACCGAAGACTCATGTATCTTGGCATGACTCCCGACAACAAACGGAAGGTTTATGCCAATGTGATGCTGGAACGAGGACGTGGTGAAACTCCAAACGTCGCCATCGTTTCTACTCCAAAGGTCTGGAACTCTATGGGCGCCAAAATGCAGCTGCACACCTTCGCTGAAGTCCACTCTTACCAGCCTTCAGCGCTCCAGGAGGCCGTAAGCACTCATTTCAACACAGGCAAGCTCAACAGCCTCGCCTCCAGATTCCTGCCGATGGATGCGCAGGGCAGGTTCGAGGCCCTTGTCGGTCGCCGACCCACCTTCTAGCCTCTCTCGAATAGCCTCAGCGTCTAGGTCTGATTAGCTATACAGTTAGGCGACAGCTTCGAAGCCAGCATGCATGCGCTTCGTCATTCCATCTCTTTGTGAAGCAGGCTCTTACAATTGCTTCTATCGTGCTTAATTCTCCCTCGTTTCACGCTCATTCTTTGCTTCAGGCTTTACACGCTTGTCACTCGCTCGCCTTCTTTTCGAACCCATTGCTTCCCAATCAGCTTCTGTACTGCGAGGCATTTTCTCTCGTCACGTCTGCGTTGCGCCGCTCTGTTTCTCGTGATGAGCCTCTTCTCTCGAGGTGGAGTGCGCTAGCAAGGTGAAACGCGGACTATACGCTCGGGCACTTTGCCACGAGTCAAATACTGCGTAGCCGCGAGCCTGAGTACCGCAGAGAGTGTGGGGCGACTACCAGCTTCGCATGCAGAAATTTGCCACTGCATGCTTTCCTGACTTTCAGTCTTGGCTTTACGGCTTGGCCATAGATACCGTCAAGCTTATATACAGCAGGCGTCCACCGTGCCGATACAGGTGAGCTGCAAACAAAGTCCGGGAAAGTAGCCGAGTATTCGTCGAACATGAAGCTCTGACTTGAGCAGCTGACGACAGTTGCGCTCACCGTAAGAAACCGGGGTCGCAATTGGGCCGGGGTCGGACTTTTTTTTACGGGCGTTCGCTGCGAGCTTCGATCTCGCGCCGAAAGAGTGTAGGATCGTTGGACCTCGAGATGAGAAGTCCGTACTCGTAGAGCTCGAGACATAAACACGAATGACCGCAACATCGACTCGCACGAATTGGCGCGGGGATCAACTCGCATCGGCGTCTTCATACGCGATTTTCAAGTCGCATCAACTCGACTTGTTGGCTGCACTGTGTCTTCGTGGCTTTGTCAACATTTGATCTGTGCACACAGAGACTTGCCGTGAGACCGCATCTTCGTCATCATTCCGTCGCATGCGATTGGCAAGGAGGGTAAGGTGTTTCAAGAGCCACACATGAAAGTGTTGCTCACAGTATTTCGTAGATGGACAAAATGGCGCCTACAACTGAAAAAGAGGGTACCGTTCTTAGCCCCCATACGATCTATCTTGTGTCAAGATGTTCAACGGGCGCCGCGATGAAGTCGACACTGTTGTGGTTCAACCAATCTTGAGCTGAGTCTGGTCTCACTCGCTCAGTTGTTCTCCGTCCTGCCGGGCTAGATGGGTGGGTTGTCGCCGAAGATCTTGATGAAATGTGCAGATTCAGGGTCTGTAGCGACATTCTGCACAGCAAGTCGCGGGTATCGTGACGGGGATAGACATGGTCGACGACGGCCGGCAGTGGGTGCAACTTGGATTTGAGACCGGAAGTGACCCTCTGCATCAGAGTGATGTGCGTCTGCAACTCATTGACGGTGGGTGCGATGTGCCTTTCATGAATTGCATTGATACTGCCGCTCCGCCCGGCGACTCCATTGGCCATATGTCCAGTATCCGTACCACGATACCGGCACGCAGGCTGGTGCTTGGCACTGGCATTCTGCGTTGTCCTCACAACTTTTCTTGGCGGAAGACGAGGAGCAGTATGATAGCATGCAACCATATTGGGGACAACGGCTGGCGGGGACGATTGTAGCCTACGTTTTCAAAAGCAGCCATCAACGGATCTGGCGCAATTACCGCTTCTATTACCGCTAAGATACTGAGGTTGAAATCCGCACCGTTTCATCGACTTCCTGTCGCCAAACATGGTGGACTCGGTGACTTAGCAGGAAGGCTCGGACTTCGGGCAGTCCATTTCAGTGCGATGTTGCTGCACGAATGACCCGAGCCGTTCAAGTCAGACAGGATATAGGTGACTGCTCTTCGGTTCTCAGATCGTCTGCTCAATACATCCCACTCAGTCTTGACACTGCGAGTCCCAATACCACCATACTTCCAAGCGCTTTCAACGTCACCACCGCCACAATGCACTTCCCGAACTTCATCAAGCTATCCACCTGCCTTGGCGTAATCGCCTTGGCTATGTTGCAAAACAAGGCTTGGGGGGCCAATGCTGTGCCGGTGGTTCAACCGGATCCCATGGATCGTAGCACGGTCACAGCATGGTCGGGCCAGATCATGGGTAAGATGAATGCCCTTGGCTCGCCTCCTAGCCGAATGGATGTTGCAACCGTTCCCTTGGGCCAGATGAGGAGCCTGGCTGACCGTGTCAGGAACGAGCTTCGAGAGCGGTCCGGCGATCGCCATCTGCTCTACCTTGGGCCTTCCTCCCGGGGTCACATGTACGCCTTCCCACTGACCAGAACCGAGCATGGACTTCGCCTTGTAACCGGTCCTCCTGATCGCTACAGCCAGATGGCTTTGATCTCCGTCTCTCCTCGCGGCCATGGAGAACGCTCGATCTACCTCCACGACATTGTTGGTGCTTGGATTCCGAACAAGAACATCATGTATCAGAACCTGATGGGAGCCAACGCTTACCAGTACGGAGATGCTCCGGTTACTCACGACCTGGATCGGCTGCTCGCCGGCCATATCCATGGCTTCTAGTGACGTCGGCCTCGTCTCTAGGACGGGTTCCTGTCGCTAGCTCGAGTCCATAACAGAATTGTTTCTGTTCCCTCTGACCTCCTTTGAGGCCATCCCATCGTGTCGTTTGCGCCTTCTCGTCTCCTTTCACTTCATTCCGGTCACTATGCTGTTGTGCAGCTATTCGTCGGCCTCGATGGTCCGACGGGCCGATCTCATTGTGGCGTCCGGCAGATTAAAGTCAATGTCGTTTCGACCGGTCGAAGTCGACATCCCGTTCATGCAGCCCACACCGCCGGTCCTGATCTGGCTGCCGCTTCCGCATCTCGACTCTCTCGCCAACGCAGTCACACCCATCTCAGTTCAATTTGATTTTTCATCCTCGCACTGCAGTGCTCGTGTAGTGTGTGTACTGCGGCATTGTCGTCCCCAACTCTCTCAGTTACCTGGTTCGTACTGTCAATTGCATGCCGGGAACTTCGCTGTCTCAGGGCTCCTGACAGTTAGAAAGATTGTGGTGTCGTACCGTGTTGTTGTGTTCGGAACGATTATAGAGCTGGATGGCCGTGATCAAGCAAAGTATCGGACAATTACAATGCACGGCAGCACTACCGGCAATGCCGGTATGATATCGCACCATTCAGCTTGTTGTATCCCACGTCTGTCCCGCTCTCGGAAGCTTCAGATTGACCGAAAGGCCACCTCTTCTCGATCTCGATACATGCCGTCCATGAAAGGTTGAGACTCCGCCGCAGGATGTGTCGTATTACTGTATATGTCTGGCTCTCAGTGGTACCTCAAGCAGAACATCTGTGTGGTCTTCGCAGACCAGGAATGTGGCTGGCCTGATATCAGTGGGTTTTCATCAATGTGAATGTGGCTGAGGCGCTAAGTAAGCTACTGTACCGGGCTCGGGTCTGAGCATCGGTCTTGGTCGGCACTTTCACTCCCGAAGCTTCCCACCGGACCGTCTGAAGCATCTAATCCCGGCCCACCTATTCATGGACGTATGAGTAGGAGTCAGGCCAAGATCGCAAGCTGGAGGCGCTTTCGCACGCTTCTCATTTGCAGAGCTTTCCCACGCCAGGCTTCATGAAAGCGACCTCGAGTGACCTGCGTCTAACCATCTTTGAGCAGCTTTCTCCTGATCGTGTGTCCTGTTCCCGGTCTCAGGACTTCTCTTAGAAGGGCCTCAGTCCTACAAAAGCTCTGCAAGAATAGGTGCACCACAGCTGCTGCTCGACACGTTTCTCAGAACGGCTCAATCGGTCGAGGTGGCTCATCATGAGGATCAAGAGCGCGCGTCTACTGTTGGCCATGCCACGCCTTCTGAGCCTCGTGCTCGTTGCGACTTACCTGCTCAACGAGCCTGTTCTCGCAGCAGGTGATGACGAGAAAGGTAAAGGACTCGAACCTTCAAGCTTCATCTTCGAGTCTTCTGGTCCAGCTCGACTATCTGGAGCTTCTTCTGTGCCTCGCAGGCGAAGCCGACTTTCAGCTATGGGATCACCCTCAACTCCAGGCTCGTCCTCAAATCCTGGCTTCGTCTCGCACCCTGGCTCGTCCTCGAACCCTGGCTCTTCCTCGGCTCCTGGCATGTCGTCGGATCCTCTTGTCGTCTCTGATCCTGCCCAAGCTGCACCTCCCCCGACAATTCCCGAGATCGAAATCGTACCCCCTTCCGTCCACTTTCCGCCGTTCATTAACATCGTTCCTATCCCGGAACACGAGCCCTGGCACATGTATCGCCAGTTCAGGTACAGACTCGCTCAGCTCGACATCGACCACCGAAGCCTGGCTCTGCTCAACCCTCGTGCCGATTTTGTTGGGGACCATCGCACAATGTTGAGGGACCAACTTCAGGCTCAAGTCGACTTGAAGCACGCGCTCGTCTTGACACCAACTATCGATCACGGGGGTAGAGTCTATGCGGTGCCGATCTTTCGCGACTCGGTCAAAGAGGCGCTGATTGGATCGAAGAGCCACCAGAACGTGGGATGGGCTTTGATCGGTATTTGGCCGGGTAGGCAGACATCCGTCGCTTGGTTTGGATATGCTCTCCTGGACGTCAGGGGTCGAGCATCTTTGATTCAGAAACTCCAGGACTCTGTCAAGGTGAAAGTTCTGGCGGACCTGTTGAGGCCTATACCGGTATGAGGGCTTGCTTTCGCGATTGCCTCCTGCAGCCTTGGCGATATTCGGTTCAAGTCAATTTCACCAGAACAGATCTGGTCCTGACCACACAGATTTTGCTGACTGCATCTAGTTTGCGATCGAGAGCACGAACACCTTCCGCTGGCTACTGAAACGAATGTCGTTCGAACTAGTACTTCCAATCGCAAATTCGACCACGATTCAACGTATCAACCAGTCTCTTCACGTCAGCTACAATATTCGTTCGTGTACCTATCTCAAGCTCTGAATGCGACGTTTGCACTCAAATCAGCAGAACTCAGAGGCAGAGTGATAATAAGCACCATTTCAGATCTTTGAGACTCGCACTGTGAGCGCTTTGAGACGGTCCAGTCGCTTGGCGGATGTAAGCAGGAAGTCTCGATAATCGAAGGATCTGATTTGCGAGGGGCGATGCCGTGAGGACTGTGAACATGCTGCTCAAAGGTAAACGAGCCTGTCTGCCCGCCTGTCAAGCGGAGGAAGCGCCGCTTCCCGAGCTCGATGCAAGGGGATTGCTGATCTTCCTCTCAAAGTCGGTGTCGCCGTTCTGTACCCTCTGCATTTGGTCAAGGGCGCTTGGCTTGAAAGACAGCGCGACAGCACTAAAGTGATGATCGTACGTCTCGTCTTTTCTTCGGATCGTATTGGCGAAAACAGATTTACGGTCCGATGGCAGCTGAGAGAAGGTGGATCGGAGATCTCTGAAGTGGTTTGCTTCGTTCGGGTTCACAGGTTTGCGCTTGTACAGACCTTCAAAGAACAGCAGAGCATGGCGCTCCCAGAAGTCGGAGACGAGCTGATCGTACGTCCGAAAAGCCGCCTCAATATCATACAGGTGGTCGGGTAGCCTTCCTTGTATTATTGGGAGCAACAGAATCTGACGCTTACCCTCTTTAAGAGCTCTGTTGACTGGGCCAAGTTTGTACTCGTAGTAGTGCTGGATCATCATGCGATAAAACGCTTGACTCTGAAGTTGAAGGTGGATGCCGTACGGCTGCTCCGGGTTGCCCTCGAGGTAGGCTAAATGGTGCATGTTCATAGCCAGCCTTTCGGGCACTTCCAGTCTGATAGGATCGGATTCGTAAACGATACGCGTGGCGGCATCGAGCTGTGACAAATGGGAAGGTAAAGGCGGAAAGCAAGTCACCGGAGAGATGAAGAAGCTGGCGAAAAGCTGAACCGGATCTCGAAATTGTCAGATGGCTGCTTGGCGATATGATCAGTGAGTTCCGGCGTAGAGGGCTCACCGTAAGAGCAATGAGGGTCACCATCAATAGCATCATGGTTGGAGTTATCAAGGATTGACGGGAAGTCAGACCTCAAAAGGCTTATTGAGACAAGGACCAAGTCCAAGCTGGTTGTCGACATATATAAGCTTATCCTTCGAGCAAACCTGGCAGTTACTGTGCACAGGCCCTACTTCGCTCCAAGAGTTGCTCAAGCATCATCAAAGCGAGCGAAGGCCGCTCACGATGAAGCGGGAACGCCCTTGACTCTTGGTACACATGAGACCTGCTTGCTTTTGGCGCCACATGTGACAAGCGGTCCCACATCTCGTGCGAACCGCTCTCTTCTCCTTCAAAGTCACAAGAACGTAGGATGCTGACAGAGGGTCAGCGGCAATCGCGGGTCCGCTTCAAAGCTTGCAGACGTGACAACATGATACTGCGCTCAGTTCGAAGGAGGCTTTCACGATCTCATTTGGGACCGGCCCAATCCGAGATGGAATGCGGGTAATGTTCATTTCGTTGACAAATGAGATAGATCTCGACCGCCGTGTTCGTCGCCTCATCTCCGCTCCATATAAGGTCCCCTGGTCACTCTCCGATAGTCTTTACGACACAGCGTTCGGAAGGTGCCGTGTCACGTGGCTGTCTCGATCAACGTTCACAACAGGTGAGCAAGTCACTCATATAAGCTTCACAGCGATGCGAATCAGTACTCGACCCTCTCACGAAGGAAGGAACGGCACAACATGCCCCGATCTTACACCGATCGGTGTCTCAGTGATCCCGACGCGCGGGAACGGCGACCTAGTAGGCAGGGCCAGGCTCATTGTAACGAGTCAGAACAATGCGGGCCACGTTCCGCAGATCATTCGTGATGTGACCATGCTTGACTGATAGGTTGATCGAACAATAACCTTACTGACACGGACCAGCCGCGTATGCTCGGTACACCCACTTTGTGTGCAGGAATCGCATATCGAGGTGCGGATCGGAGCTGACCGTCGACTCAAGCGAGCCGCGGTACAAAGTTGTACTTGCCTGATCAGCTCCGCTTTCATTCATCGCCGGCAGTGTGTCTTCCAGCATGTCGCAGCTTTCGACTCCGTCTGCCCTTTCCTGCGAGGTGACAGGAAGTGCCGGCTCGCAGCGGCCACTACACGGAATGCTTAGGTCTGACAAGGTACAAATAGGAAGAGGCTTGAAAGAACGAAAGCCCGCATCCCAACGACCTGCGATCAAGTCTTTGGGTGTCTTGACTGGAAAAGGATACAGAACCTCTCTCAAGGGTCTTCTACACCAGCCGACCAAGATGCTGATCATCAAGCTAAGCTTGTTCGCACTGCTAGCGGCAGCAGTGCCTTTCTCTCAAGCCTTTCCTGTTGGGCCGGGCTCGTCGGGTGACAATCATCCGGTCCGTCCAGGACAAGGTATCGACCTCGATCTGAACCTCGCTCCGCCCATCTCGCCTCGCTTGGGCCACCTGACGGATGCTGGGGTCGTGGAAAGCACGGGCCTAGAGTCTGCCCTGAGCAGAGGCGCTGCGTCATCCTCTTCCGATCTCCTCCGCCACAACACCGATCACTTCTTGGTTCCGTTTCCTGTGGTAAGGCGGGACGTTGCAAAAGCGCTCCTTTCTTTGCGGTTTGGAATCAGCTCCAACGAGCCTGTCGAGACCGTTCTCAACCCCGTCGAACGTCTCGCCGCCCGAAGGATGGGCTCGGACCATATCCACAGCCCTCATTCAACTTGGCTACACGCAGTTGTTGACGAGCCTCAGCACGATCTCACGTACAAGCGGCAGCTATACGTTGCAGCGCCCATCGCCAACCACGACTGGAGGAGGAGCTTCGGCGTCCCACTCACTCGAGACACTTCGGACTGGCTCCCGATCGTCTTCTACAAGGCAGGTATCGAGCCGGACCAACGCAACTCGCTCAGACTAGCTGGAGTCGAAGTGGTCAAGAATATGGACGATGCGAGAAAGGTTCTGCAGGAGTGGGGACCCTCTCATAGTCTGCCTGACATTGTCAAAGAGCTGGGCTTCAGCCTCCATGACCTTGTCTCGCTCCCATGAGCCGTTCCACTTCCGACGAGATGCACGCAAAGCTGAAGACTACCGCTAATTGTGCTGCACCGCATGTAGCTGTGGCTTGATCGATCCCAAGCCCCACCGATGGTCAGACACTTGCAATGACGATGCCCCGCTGTGCAATGTGAATGCTGTGCATGAGAATGACGATGCAGGTGGAAGCTGACAGACTGATGATCAGCTGCCGTGAATGTTAGAATGCCGAGGTGATCATTACGAGCGGTAGTGGAGGACCCATAGGCATGGCAGACACAAGAGGGCCTCTATGCATGCTGCAGGCGTGCGTGCCTCCACAAAGATTTCTGCACGCTGAGCGAGACCATTTATATTACCTTTGTCCACCTCCGTACCTATCGATCAGGGGCAAGAGATGCACATTGGTGGCTACGACCCAACCATCGCTCGCGACTCGAGTGCTTCGCCTTCGGACATACGCGATGGCAGAGGCGGGGCATCGTGCAGGTGCATTCCTGCACTCTTGGGACATTCACAGCATTCCTCCGTGGAATCGTTGGTGGGCGGGTGGAGCTGCCTCCGCTGGAGCACAGATGCCGCGGAGAGTGGCGGCTCGCTATAAAATGAGATGTTAAATTTGTGCATTGCAAAAGGTCGAGGCAGGTCTCCGTGGACTTCTTCTCGTGCAGGGATCCGCAGCGGATGCAAGGTCTTTGTGCTGCAGGTGTTTTTCCGGCCGCAGTCGCTTTAGACCCAGGCTATTGGTTGGGGTCGAAGGTGTCCATGATGGATTCCCGATTCCCGTTTGGCCCTTGCAAGATGCCCAGCTGGCGCCAACGAAGGCTCAGAAGCAGTCAAGCGATCACGGAGATACAGCTTGAGATTGGGCGGGGAATGAGTGAAAAGGTGGAGGCAGATTTCGCCTTGAGACGAGCACACCAGGGTCCAGGAAGGACGCTTCCTCGGAGCCTCCTCGAAACCTCCTCGGGGCGACGACGACGCCGTGTGGAAGGAATGACACCATCCTCCGCGGATGTTTTGGCGAGGGGCAGCGCGTAGCTCAGTCAGGTCCCGAATAGGGAGCCGAAAATCCTAGCCCAAGCAGAGAGCCGCGAGTATTTTCTAGCACGACAGGGCGCCGAGAATTCTGACAAGGCCAAGCAGGGACCCGAGCAGTTCGTCAGCGCAGCTCGTCGTTAAATCCAGGCGAGGCGACAGATTCCTCCGCGGCGACGACCTGCAACTCTGCAGCTGAGATGACTACGTCCGTCGATCCCAGTCACGCTGCAGGCACTCGTTGACAGTTGCCAAGCAACTGACAGCCGCGGCTGGCTAGCCCTTCCCACGTGTGTCAAGACTGAGCCATGGCCTCCCGCAGGCTTATCCGCGCCAGACCGGCGATTGCAAATGCTCCGTTGAGCGCTCCCGTGCAGCACCGATCCTCCACGGCGGCGGGGTGCACGCCATCGATATCGCTTCCGCTAGCCTCAATCTCTGCGCTGTCGCCCTCATAGCGGATGTCCAACATGACACCGGAGAGTATCCCAGACTGAGCGCATATGTCTGCCATACGTATAAATGCAGCAGCATCTCACATCACCGTTCCCCACTGTAGCATCAGCCTCAGTCTAAACATCATCCCTCCAGCCATGGATCCCGTTCACACTGCCGCGACCACGCGCTCTCCCTCGCCCGCCGTCGATGCCCACAGCCTCGACGAAAGGCACTCGGTGGGGCATCCCTCTTCGGAAAAGTCGCTCGGCCATGCCCTCTCGAACAAGGCTGCTTCCCATGATGGCGAGAGCACTCCGACGACCGAGTACCCACAGGGCGCTAAATTCTACCTCATCATGGTCTCGATCGTCCTCACGATCCTGCTCGTCAGGTAAGTGTTATGATTCTCTGAGCGCGGTCACACCATCAAAGAAGTTGACTGACATCGCCTCTCCTTCTCGGCGTCATGCAGTCTCGACCAAACAATTGTGTCCACGGCGATCCCCGAGGTCAGCAACCAATTCAACTCGTTCAGCGACGTCGGCTGGTACGGCTCGGCATATCTCCTCACCTCGACGTGCTTCCAGCCGCTCTTCGGACGCCTCTACTCCCGCTTCCCTATCAAGTGGGTCTTCGTCGCAGCTCTCACCATTTTCGAGCTCGGCTCCCTCATCTGCGGCGTGGCTCAGGACTCGACAACGTTCATCGTCGGACGTGCTGTTGCTGGTGTCGGCATGTCAGGCGCATACTCGGGCACCATGATCATCGTGACGCTCATCAGCCCGGTCCAGATGAGGCCGGTGCTCATGTCCATCGTTGGAGGCGCATACGGTACCGGTGCTTGCATCGGTCCTATCGTGGGCGGAGCTTTCACCAGTCAGACGACGTGGAGGTGGTGCTTCTACATCAACCTCTGCTTCTATCCTTTTGTCGCTGTGGCCATCCTCGCGTTCCTCAAGGTCCCCAACAGGCTCCAGACCAAGTCGATCATCAACCGCTTCGTGACCATCGACTGGCTGGGTGTGGCTCTTTCGATGTGCTCGGTCATCTGCCTCCTGCTTGCTCTCCAGTGGGGCGGCATTCGATACGAGTGGGGCAACTCTAAGGTCATCGGTCTCATTGTCGGCTTCTTCGTCATCGCCTTGGCCTTTGCAGTGGAGCAGTGGTACCTGGGTGATGATGCCATCATTCCCTTCCGCCTCCACCGTCAGCGTACGGTCGGCTTCGGAAGTCTCGTCAACTTCTGCATCGCGGCGTCCTACTTTGGCCTGCTGTACTTCGTTCCGATCTACTTCCAGTCGGTACGCGGCTCGAGTGCCATCCGCTCGGGCGTCCAGACTCTCCCCTTCGTCGTCGCTGTCATCGTCGCCACCACCCTCTCTGGAGGTCTGATTACGAAGTTCGGCTACTACATCCCGCTCCTCCTCGTCGGCACGGCCATCACAGCAGTTGGGTCTGGCTGCCTGTACCTGCTCCGTCCCGACTCGTCACTCTCGATGTACGTCGGTCTCCAGTTCCTCGCTGGTGTTGGGCCCGGTATCGCTTTCATGATCCCCTTCAGCGCCGTCTCTGCAGCGCTCGATCCCAGCGACATCGAGATCGGTTCCGCCATCGTCACCTTCTGGCAGACCCTGGGTGGGACGCTCTTCGTCAGTGTCTGCCAGGCCATCTTTCAGAACGAGTTTGTCAAGAGCCTCGGTGCCATCCCCGGCGCTCCGACGGAGGCTATTGTTGCACACGGAGTCTCGGCCTTCCGGGCGTTCACTCCGTCCTCGATTCTGCCCCAGGTCGAGCTGGCAGCTAACCTCGCAGTCAACAAGACATATCTTGCCTCGGTCGCACTCGGCGTCGCCGCTTTCCTCGCTGTGTTCGGCATGGAGCTTAACAAGCGCATCCTGCCGCCGGATCAACAAGTCCAAGGGGACGCGGAAAAAGACGCCGCCGCTGCCGGATTGCCGCAAGCATAGACAACACTTTGGAGCTTTCATGTATTCTTTACTTCACCGCCTCGTCTTACGAATTGTACGAACCCATCGTGATGAATAACTAGATCATCGCGTTTGCAGCTTTTGGATATTAGGCAGCTCTGGGCCCACATATGAGTCTTTTGTAACAGTAAGCTCGTTCCTCCAAGACCGGTGACCGATTATCTGGTAGTGAGAGCACTCTCATTCATCTGTGCTCCTCAATCATGTGACACGCGAAGTTCGGGACGCCAAACAAAGAGGAATATATAGGCAGCCACAATCGAGTAAAGCTACGAGTGCCAGCATTGAGGACCTCTGCTTCATCTTTCGATTTCTCGTCAGCAGCCATGACTAGCCGCGTGCTGTCTCGCGTCATCTTTCTGCTCTACGCCCTGACTTTGCTGTGTTTCTGTCGACACGCGCTAGCCCCGAGATCGGAAGATATTGGCCAGAGGCGACAATTGAGGGCTCCTGCAGACCTAGCTGGCCGCCGGGCCGTACGCCGCTACTTGGACATTGCCGACGATGCCAGCAGCGCTCCAAATCCTGCCTTCTACCCCGGTACTCCTGTTCCAGTGGACGTCATGACGCACCTGTTGGGAGAACGGTACAGCGTGGACCATCACGTTCCGATCCCTGTCGTCGAGGGCCAGGAAAGCAACTTTTACAGCAAGGTGCGGGAGCTCCTGCACCATCCCGAGACACCCGTCACCAGCATGGGCTGGGAGGGCAATACGTTCTTTCTCGCTCAGGCTCGCCGCCTAGACTACAGCAACTATCCTGTATGGGGCACCATGATTAGACCTCCCTTTCAGTTGCATTCTGATGCTTTCCACCCGATTTTTATCGGGAAGGTGCTGCACAACAATCCGCAAGGGCACGAGTTCGACCTTCTTGCCGTTAGATCGCCTGCGACGGTGACGGAGAGAGAAACGTTCCTGGCAAGGCTGAGATCGTCTCGACGCCTAGTTCATTTCCTTGACCTCCTCTAGAACCAGAGTGCCCTAGGTGCCAGACCGGCGATGATCTAGCGGTAGTTCATGTACAAGTTCTCCAAAGCACGCTCGGGACGTCCTCTGCTCTCGGACTCCAGGGATGACTGATCTTTCCGATCTTCCTCAAAAGGGGGTGGGATGCGTCTTCAAGACTCCTATTTTGCGACTGCATCCACCCTAAAGAGTCTGCATTGCATGAATTCAGGTCTTCATTACGTGGGATGATGACACCCACCTCGAGCTGACGTGCTACCCAGCGTCAGGAGACTGTATGCAACAATGCGCCATGTCTGCGGCTGATCATCGGAGAGATCATGTGGGTCCCGCTACCTTTCATATGCCCGGCGTCACACAGGCAGCCACAACGGCTCGAATGTGTCGCAGGACGTCCCTCCGACTCCCACTTTAAGTTTCGATAAGAGTGAAGGCAAATTGTGACGTATGGTGGGTGGAGCGGTCCTGTAAAGGTGTCGTATCAGACTCTTCTTCAGTGACAGAGCGCTTTTCGCTACTGCTTCGATCACGAAAGACATGCATATCTGAACCAGTGCGCCCAAATGCATTCTGCGTCAACGAGCTCCCAGAAAGACCTGCATGCGGTGTGACTGCACAGTTCGCAGGTGCACAGGGGTGGATACAGCGACATGCGGACAATTGGTGTCGTCCGCCCACGATGAGTTCGTGTACCGTATGATGGTTTGAGGCTGAAAAGCCGAGTTCCTAGATATCTGCGTGCTTGCAGGGGCTAGTTCGGTCCTGCATGCCGCGGTTCACGGACAATGCAGGTCACGGTTGCGGACAATGACAACAACATGCACCGTCTTGCTCCTTGAATCGGTTGCAGAGGAGTCTGCTGTGGGCTTCTTCCCACCAGAGGAGGACATAGCGTCAGTCGAGCCCACCCGAGCGGGTACTTGCTGCGGCGCAAGGATATAAGTAGGAGACCAGTGTCATGTCTGTTGTCTGCCAGGCCCTTTGAGATCCTCTCACACTTTCAACATCAAAGATCAACATGGCGCAGCACTGTCGTAACAAAGCTCAGCAGGTCCTGCGATGCGCCTTCCTCGGGTGGATGGCGCTTCTCATCTGCTTTGCCACCCGCACCGCAGGCCAAGTCTCGGATGCTGAATCCGGTATTTCTGGGCCGAGACGTCTGCCATCACCTGCACCAATTCCCGCGGACAGAAGCGGCTGGCACGACATTCGACTGCGTGACCGAGAGCTTGCACAGCGCCTCGCAGCCGAAAGGCGCAGCGCAGGATTCGAGACCGGTGGCCTTCTCCAGCATCGCATCTTGGAGCCTGTCTACGGCCAGAACCTGCCAGCCATCGCTGAAAAGGCGCACAAGTACTTCCACGAGCCTGGTGTCAAGTTTTCGGTGGATCGAGTCAAGCCCAACATGTACTACCTGATGACACCTGCTCCTGTCAACAAGGAGTGGTTCAGGCTCATGCAGATCGAGTACACGCCAGAGGCCATGAAGAGGCCTCCGATGCTGGTCTACCAAATGTTCCGCGACACCGAAAGGGACGGATTTCAGTACCGACTGCTGGGTGTCGAGCGCGTGCAGGACAAGACCGATCCGTTCTACTTCCTCCGCGGCTGGATGGGAAGCAGCGGCGTCCATCCCCTGGAGGATATTACCAAGGAACTGCGTCAGCTGCACTGAGCCCGGTCTCCAGACTGCGCTGCCCTTCCTGCGGGACCCGTTTCTACAGATGGAGTAGTACGCTTTCCGACAGGGACCTTCCGTATTGGGGCCACTCCACCCTTCTCGTCATTCGTCTTCATCCACGAGCTCTTAGTTTGTCTCGCCCTTTAGCAAAGTTTCCCGCAATCAGTTGAATGAGCCGTTTCTTTCGCACACTCTGAAGAATAGACTCTGTTGCCTTTGATTGACAGCTGTCACCAGGCAGGGGGAGCGGACCTAGGAAGGCCCGGTGCTTTGAGTCTGAGAACGTTGGAGCTTAACACTTTGGAAGTTCGCGCTTTCTCCCGGGCGAAAGGTGCGCGCAATTCGAACCTCGACACACGCGTGGGAGCGAGGGTGGTGTTGCGTGTGTGTTGATCTCGTCGAGCCTTTAGAGCGAGGTGAAACTTGGATTTGCATCGGGACGCGTGTGAGCAGTCGCAATGCACGCGCTGTGGCACTTGGGCACGCATCGAATCGGGATCGCGCTCAGCTGCCTCTCTTGCGCATCACGGGTTAGGCGCAGCCGCCCCGCCCAGAGCTTCTGAAGCCGCGCTTGGATCACCGGCCTTGAATCTCCATCACCATCTCCCCTCTCCATCCCTTTGATCCCTACCCATCCCGCTCCCACATTTGAATCATGCGTGAGCTCATCACGTAAGTCCTCGATCTATGTACAGGTTGAAGACGGTTTCTGGCAAGTGCGGTGCAACTGACACTTGACGCTTTGCTTTGACTGATTACAGATTCGCCTGCGGTCAAGCAGGTAACCAGATTAGCTCTGCTTTCTGGCAGTGCATCCTCAACGAGCACGGTCTCGACGGCGATGGCGTGAGTACGACGTTCAACGCATAATCAGAGTGTATGCCCAAAGATATGCGCGACTCACACTTTGCATGCGATCCCAACTCCACAGCGATACATTGGCAGCAATGAGGACGAGCAGCTCGCCAAAGTAGGCGTCTTCTTCGAGCCCTCCGGCCAGGAGGGCAAGTATGTGCCTCGGTAAGTATACGGCTTTCTTCATCACCAACGTCGACATGCAAGCAGTGCTGACCCTAAATAAACGACTCGCTCGCAACGCGCAGCTCGATCCAGGTCGACCTTGAGCCGGGCACAATGGACACGATCCGCTCTGGCCCGCTGGGCAAGCTGTTCCGACCGGACAACTACATCAACGGCGAGTCTGGCGCGGGCAACAACTTCTCCAAGGGCTACTACACGGAGGGCGCCGAGCTGATGGACCAGGTGCTCGACGTGGCGCGCAAGGAGGCCGAAAAGACCGACATGCTGCAGGGCTTCCAGCTTGTGCACTCGCTCGGCGGTGGTACGGGCTCGGGACTGGGTACGAACCTGCTGTCGAAGCTGCGCGAAGAATTTCCGGACCGAATGCTGGCGACGTGGTCGGTTCTGCCGTCGCCCAAGGTGTCGGACACGGTGGTGGAGCCCTACAATGCGACGCTGAGTTTCCACCAGCTGGTGGAGAACTCGGACATGACGTTCTGCCTGGACAACGAGGCGCTGTACGACATCTGCCAGCGCACGCTGCGAACCAAGAATCCGACGTACGCGGACCTCAACTCGATCATCTCGTTTGCGATGAGCGGATGCTCGACGACGCTGCGTTTCCCGGGTCAGCTCAACTCGGACCTGCGCAAGATGGGTGTGAATCTGGTGCCGTTCCCGCGCCTGCACTTTTTCACCACGGGTTTCGCGCCTCTTGTTGCGCCTGGTAGCAAGGCGTACCAGTCGCTCAAGACGTCCGAGTTGATTGCGCAGGGGTATGATCCCAAGAACATTATGGCTGCCATTGATCCGCGACATGGCAAGTACCTTACTGTCGCAGCAATCTTCCGCGGCAACGTCAACGCACGCGATGTGGAGAACGAGATGTACAACCTTCGCGAGAAGAATCCTGCTGGGTTTGTCGAGTGGATTCCGAACAACGTGTTGACGTCGTTGTGCGATATTGCGCCGCCTCAGCTCAAGATGTCGGCTACGTTTATTGCCAACACGACGTCGATTCAGGAGCTGTTTAAGCGTACGCACGATCAGTTCAGCCTCATGTTCCGTCGCAAGGCCTTCTTGCACTGGTACACTGGCGAGGGCATGGACGAGATGGAGTTTACAGAGGCCGAGTCCAACCTCATGGACCTCATCGCCGAATACCAACAGTACGAATCCGCGGGCGTGGACGAGGTAGACGAGGAACTCTACGAACAAGAATACCAGGACCAAGTAGACGGTCAACAAGAATATGCCGACGACTCTGTCCAGTACGCCGACGAGCAATGATAAACCCCTCTTCCTCGTCAACACACCCCTGACCTTCCCAGAACTCGTCAAAAAAAAAAAGAATCTTCCCTTCCATTCCCCCCACCCGAACTGTTCCCCTCGAGCCTGTACTACGATCCTTGAATCCCAACCCAAGACCTTTGCCCCTGTTTGAATGCGTGCTTCTTGCTCATCTTTGTGCTCAACAATCTTTCTGCGCTCACGTTTGTTCGACTGTGCGGGAAAAAGGTGGACAGGATCTTGTTTCGTCTGCCACGGGTGCAGACTAAGGTTCTAAATGCAAAGTGAGACAGATGCGGCCCAGAGATGTCTAGACAGGACGGGCGAGATGAATGCAAGAGAGAGAGAGGGAGAGAGAGAGAGGGAGAGAGAGATCTCCGGAGATGGAGGCGGCCCCGGCTGACGCCCGACTTTGATTTTCGCGCGCAGAGCGGGGCCAATGCAATGCAAAGAGGAAAGTGCAGCACGGCATCAGAAGAAGGACTGCTGTTGCGGCTGCTGCTGCAGGGGCTGGGAGACAGGCTGCTGCGACTGCTGGCCGAGGCCGCGACCGGTCTGCAAACCAAAAGGCGGAGCGCCCGATCGCGGTTGGAACGAGATGGGCTGGGGCGGAAGCGAGTACTCGATGCGAAGCTCCTCGCAGAGCGTCTTGATGCGGCGCATGAGCTTGGTCCTGCGCTCCCATCGTGCGCCCCAATCCTGCCAGTTGCTCTTGTGCTCAAAGGCAACCACGAGCTCAACCGCATTCTGCTGGGTGATCGTGTTGAAGTTGAGATCCAGTGGTCCGCCAAACTCGCGATCGTTCTCCTTGGTCCATGCGCGCAGCTGGGTGCGCAGCTGCTCAATCGTCTCGAGCGACGTATCGAAGGAAACCTGAATCAGCGTCACCTCCCACTGTGCACCACTACGACGCGAGTTGTAGATGTACTTCTTGGTGGCGAGCATGGCATTGGGCGCCACCACCTCCTGGTTCGTCGTGGTGCGGAAGGTGGTGGAGAGCAGGCCGAACTCCTTGACAAACATCCACTCTTCATCGATGCACACCAGATCCCCAACGTCGTAGGGATGCGTGGCAAAGATGAAGATCATGCTCTCAAAGATGTTCTTGGCCGAGTTGCCAAAGATGAAGGAGAATCCGACGACAAAGGTGGAGAGCGGCACGATGTTCGAAACCGCCGAGTCGCCGTTGAAGATGAGGAGCCAGATGAAGATGACGATGATGAGGCCGATGAACATGAGCACGCCGTCGAGCTTGGAGATGGCCGACGACATGTCCTTGAGCGAGGTGGAGAGCGAGCGTCGCTCGCGGTAGATTCGCTGCACGGCCTCGCGCATCTCTTCCTTGCTGATGTCGCCGTTGCGGTCGGCATCGAAGAGCGCAAACGCCTCGCGCGCCTCCTCCTCGGACTTGAAGTACGGCACAAAGTCTTCGGCGACGAGCGTCGACTTGTTGTCCGAGAGGTTGGTGAAGAGGAGCTTGGCGAGCTTGCGGGCGGAGCGCTGCGAGCCGAGCTGATTGCTCTTGTAGAGCTTGCTGTCCTTGAGCGTGGCCATGGCGATGGCGTCGCTAATCTGGGAAGCGAAATTGGCCTTGCGCTCGCGCTTGCGCAGCTCGTGCTCGGTGGGCGGGTGCGAGTCGTCGTGATGGTGGTGGAGCGACATGTGGTGGTGGTGGCCGCCGGAGGGATGCTTTTCCGTCGAGTGTGCACCTGCGTCGGGCTGCTGCCCGGGCGGGAAGTAGCCTCCGAGACCGTCGCGGGACTGCTTGGCCGAGTGGTGTCCGGCGTAGGCCTGCTTGTAGCCGGGCGAGGCGGGGCGGCTGCGCATGTTGAATCGACGAGCGGAGCGATGCTGGAGGTACTTGGACTCGTGAAGCTTGTCGAGGGCCTTGAGCGCCTTCTGGTTCTGTTCGAGGCGGTCCTTTACGGCGGTCTTGTGGAAGTTGATGGCAATGAACTGGAGGGCGACCTTTTCGACGACCAAGATGATGCTGGTGGCAAAGAGGGCGCGGATGACCATGAAGATGGTGCGGAAGTAGGTGGGGCGGGTGGCCGAGGAGTACTGAATGGCCAGCACGCCGCCGAGACTGATCCAGGCCCAGGTGATGCAAAGGACGAGCTTGAAGTAGAGGATGGTGGCCATGAAAGCCTCGATGTAAGTTTTTACGATCTCGGGCGCCTTTCCGTAGACGGCGATGACGACGCGAAGTGCGACAGGGGGGATCCAATCTACGATGAGGAAGGTGCCGCAGCCTGCGGCCCAGATGATGGCGATCCAAATGCTCCAGACGACGACCTGGGCTCGAGCGGGCGACTGCGTGTTGGTGGAGGTGACGACGATGAACGGGACGAGGCAGATTGCGGTTCCGAGGAGTGCGGCGAGGAAGATGCGGACGGGACGTGCGAGGCGGAGACAGGCAAGGTACACCTTTCTGCCTCGCTTTGCACGCGTGACCTTGGCGCCTTTGCGGGGCTGATCGTCGTCGTCGTTGTCGCTGGATGTGTCCCAGTCGAAGTCCTCCGAGTCGTCGGCTGAGCTTGCGACGGAGCTGGCGCGGCTT